AAAAGCCTGCCGCAAGCAGGGCAGTTGCATGGCTACCCACTCAGCAGATGTGAGTAGAACCATGGAATCGAATCACAGAGTTGGAAGGGACCTCGACTTAACCAACACAGAGGATCCCAACACAGCTGGCATCAATACTGTGGTACCACCAAGCCAAGATACAGCCGGGTTGTATCAATTCAAAACCATCAGAGGTCTTCTCCCCTCTTCACCACAGTGGGCAAGGCATACATATGTGCGCTAAAGCTGTTTTTAAACAGAGGTTGGATGGGCATCTTTCAGGAGTGCTGAAATTGTGTATCCCTGCACGGCAGGGCGTTGGACTAGGTGGCCTTTGTGTCCCCTTCCCATTCTCTTATTCTGTCTTTCTATGATTCCCTAGGCCAAACGAAGACTGGACAGCCTTTCTAACAACAAAGGAGCATCTTCTGACAGCCCTCTTCTGTAAAACAGGAGACAGTCACTCAAAGAACCTCACACCTTATTGGGGTCTGAGGTGGAGAGTCCCATTCCTGTGTGTGAGCAGAGGAAAGGCCTTCAACGCACCCTCTCCTCCAGTGCAAAGGCTAGTGGCCAGGACTGCCCAGCTGGATGGGCTTCTGGATCTCTTTCCACACTTGCTCGATTCTCTCCATCGAGATCCCGTGGACCGTCACAGAGTTTCGGTACACCTCGAACTCATCCTTTGGAGGCCCCCAGACGCGAAAGTGACCGTCGTGCCGATACTGGACCCCAGACGCCAAGGCCAAGAACCCCAAATAAACGTCATCCAGTGGGAAGACAGGGAGCCACAGCGATGCATTGTAGAGTTCTGAGATGGATGATCGGGGCATGATGAACCCCCCTCCGGAAGCAAAGGTGGGGTACTGGTTCATTGGGTAGAAAGCCGGAGAGACCGCATACTTTCCCTTCCTCATCACAGTTGAATGGTACTGAATGTTCCCATGGATGAATTTGGAAGCGTTGGGCGTCTGGTTGAGGTATTCGGTGAGTGCCTTGATGTTTACAAAGAGATCGTCATCCCCTGAAAGACAACACGCTGTTACTGCTATTGCTGCTTCTAGGCCAACTCTGCCTTTGCACTCATTCAGCCACAAAGCATCAACATTCCTTTTTATCAGAAGACCAGGTACTTCAGAGCCATGTCTTCCGGCTTCCATACATCCCTCTCACCCAAAGCACCTAGCATCCATAATTTTGTCTGAGAACGCGCCGGGTTCCTAAACTGAGAATGCGCCAAGACTCAAGAGCTGTACAGGGTGAGGAATTGGTGCACCCAGTTTGTTTCAAAGTGGGAGAGGAGAGGAAGGGGATGGACCAAGACAGCAGGCGGCCAGGAAGGGATGCCAAAAAAGAAGCTGAGCTGGTAGTTTGCCGGATTTCAGGGCCTGGCCCTGAGGCACCAGTTTTCGTGGTCCATCTCCAGGTAGGAGAGAAGGGGGGACATTTTATGAGGACCCCTTTTTGGAGCTGGAGCTGGAGACAAGAAGACAAGACTGGGCTAGGAGAGCACCAGCTTCCTACACTTTCCAAGGGTTAATTATCTGTTCATGGCGTAGTTTGGGCGTAGGACTAGGATTCTGGAGATCAGAGGGTTAATTCCTTAATCAGCCACAAAACCAAATGGGTGACCTTGGGCAAGTCACATCCTCTCAGCTTCAGGGAAAGGAAATGACAAACCTCTTCTGAACAAATCTTGCCATGAAAACCCCATGATTCCAACCATAAGTTGGAAAAGACAGGAAGACACACAACAACAACAAAACTACAACTTGCAAAGACTTTCTGGGTCTATACATTCACTTTCCAGTTGTTGTGAAGTTCTCCATCTGCCTTCTGGCTAAAAAGAAGTAGGCTTAAAATGTTCCTTTTCCCATCTCCCTAAGTAAATTAGAAGGAATAACAAAACAACCCCTTTTGCTAAGATTTCCAACTTAATTTCCAAACGGGGGAACAGGTTCTCTCTCTCTTTCTTTCTTTCTTTCTGATGACAAGTGGCAATCAGCTGTGTCTGCTTTATGTTATGCGTTGTTTGCCTTCAAGTCACTTCTGACTTATGGCAATCCTAAGGCAACCCTATCAAAGGCTGGTAGTTAATTAATGCTCAACGCCTAATATCGCGTTGCCCTTACATGCCTGGTTTTGGCCCAGAAAGCTCAGCTCCTGGGGTGATCCTGCACTGGCAACCCTATGTGACCTGTCTTTTTACAGGACACTCCGCTGCAATAAAAGAGCCATGTAGAGAAAGCTGTCAGGTTCCAGTTGTTGCCCCTCCATGTCCCATCGCTGCCCTTTCCACCTTCACCCTCAGCCACCTCCTGCATTTACCTTTGAAGACGTAGGCGGCTTGCTGGCAGTGCCAGTGGAGCCACTGCAGGAAACAGCGCTCTTTGAGGGACAGGTTGTGGTGCGACTCCACAAAATCCCACATCAAGATGTCTCCGATGGCGTGGCTTTCTTGCTGCACCAGGTTGGTGTGCCTGGTGTTGGGGCTGGTGGCTATCAGGAAGACGTGCCTGAGCCGGAAGCCGCCAGCCTCCCTCGGCTGGGCCCAGGTACGGCGCAGGACGGCTCTCCGGTTACTCGACGCCGGGTGGGATTTGATGGCCAGGAGGAGCAGCGGGGGACCCCCGGGGATCTCCTCCCGGCACAAACCATCTTGGGAGACCAGTTCTCGGCATTGGTAGTGCTGGAGCTCGGGAAGGAGGTCCTCGTAGATGCTCCAGTCGAGGTGGAAAGTTAAGGTGCCGTCGCTGAGAGCGATGGCCTTGCCCCGAAGGGCTGACAACAGGTGCTTCATGGAGTCCTGAAGGCAAGCCACACTCGCCTGGCGCTGCTGGTTGATGAAGCTGGCATATAGGAGGATGGAGATGAGAGCCCCCGCTGCAATCCAAAACTGGTGGGCTTTCCTCATTGTGAGACAGAAGAGCCTGGGCAGAAGAAGCAAAAGGCCCTGCATTAGCTGCAGGGGGCAGGACGGGGAGAACATGGCTATATGTTTGAATTCTACCACTATGGAAACAAAGCACTAGATTTAGCCTAACGGAGCGGAAATCCACTAATCTCTTCAAGAAACTTGCCCAGGTACAGACAGACCTTTTCTTTCTCGACAAGTGCAAGCAAGAGGATGTCATTCTGAAGGGCCTGCGTGTGAAGAACCCATGACAAACGAACTGACATTCTCACACACCAAGAGCATATATATAAGTCTGTCCCTGGCTTTCCACTCCACCAAATGCATCTGAGGAAGTAGACTTCAGTCTAGGAAAGCTCATGCTGCCAACTTCATTTTTTTTTTCAGTTAGTGTCAAAGGTGCTACAAGATCTCTTTAGCAGTTGGTGTCCCAGCCCAAAAGATGTACACTTCTGCACAAAAAGGCTAGAGAAGCCTGGCTCCATCCTTTGCTTGCAAAACACACTCTGACTCCATTCCCTGCCCAGGTAGGCCACCAGAATCCCAGCTCCCTCATCCCTCCATCCCTCCTTCCATCCATCCCACCATCCTTCCATCCCTCCATCCTTCCATCCCTCTTTGCTCTCACCAGCTAAGTCCCAGCTTTGCCAGCTTCCAGGGGTGTCCCCTTTGCCTCCTCACCTGCCAGGCAGGGAGCACTCTCCTTTCTCCCACCTTCTGCCCTCTTCCTCCTTCCTTGGCAGGGCGGTGCCAGCTCCTTTTTTCTAAAGGGAAGCGAAAGGAAGGGCTGAAATCCAGCAGGTGCAGCTTCTCTGCTTTTCTTGGCCCCTTGCCTGTTAAAAAGACACAAGCTGGTCCTTTGGAGTGAAATTCTCCTCTGGATTCTCTCTCTGGGTGCGTGTGTCTGCGGAAAGGAAGGCAGCCCCTCTGAGTACTGAAACCACGGCCTCAGAGGTGTATATCTTTGTTAGACACTTTGTTTAGTTCTGTGGAAATGCAAAACAAACAAACTAAAAACAGCATGCTCCTTTTGTTAACCCTTGGTTCTCACAGATCTTTTGAAAAAAGGCACTAAGGCTCTGTCTTCCATTTCAAAGAAGAACACAGGGGCACCAGCCTGGAGTGTTAAAAGGGGGACACGCTCCTTTCCAAACCGATTCACTAGATTGAGCATTTATTCCTTCGTGCATTGGCCCCATTGGGCATAAGGAGACTTAAATTCAACATAGAGCTATATAGCATGGCCTTAACTGTGTCCCAAAGTACAGGGTAAAACAACCGTGTTCAGCCCCGTTGTACCCTCTAACTAACATTTCACACATTAAAACTGGCCAAGACACTTTGGAGTGTGGTCAAGATGGCAAAAGTTATGCACGAGGAAGAACCCACAAGGTAGGAGAGGCTGCAGCCGTTTGCTTCTGCCTGACGGACTGGGAAGGGCAAGACTTTGCCCTCTCCTCGCCTTTTCTCCCTTCTCCTCCCCATGCTTTTGCATTTTGGACTCAGTTTGCAGCAACCTCTGCTTGCCCAAGATCTGGGGGCACACAAGGACCCCCAAATTAATCAAAGCAAGTCCAAGAGTGAAGAGGAGCTGGGTCCCCACAATATGCTCTGCACCTGATGCCAGAATAGGAGTTTTAACACATAGAATTGAACTTACCTGCACCGATTCTGTCGCCAAGAGAAAGACTTGAGGACGAAGCCAACGCTTTGGTTTTGTCCGTTACAAAAGAAATTGAAAGAGGAAGGCCATCAGTCACTTGGTTTTGACAGTGAAGTCGGCTTCTACAAGCATGGCTGATGTGAGCATGAAGAAACACTTTCACAAGGGTTAAGAGAACCGGATGCCTTGCGGGTGCGCATGTGTGCAACACGCCGTAGTTGGTGTAAGGGCTGCACCAGGCTGTCTCTTATCTGCTGCTAGTTCGTCATTGGTGTGTGCCTTCAAGAGGTTTATGACCTATGGAAACCTGAAGGCCTTCTGTCACAGGGTTTTCTTGCAGAATTTGTTTAGAGTGGGTTTGCCTTTGCCTTCCTTTGAGACTGAGAGAGTGTAGCTCACGCAAGGTCACCCAGTAGGGTTCCATGGCCGAGTGGAGATTCGAACCCCGGTCTCCAGAGTCACAGTCCAGCACTCCAACCACTGCGCATGCTGTCTCTCTACTAGGTGCTGCGAGTACATCTGAGGAAAAGGCACTCCCAGCTCCAAAGCCCCCACTGGGTGCAAAAAGGAGGCAGGAATGTGACGGAGCAGAACCCAACCCTTTGGCAAGACTCACAAGGCAGGTATTTACTGTGACAAAATACTTCAGATACTCACGTCCATCTCCTAATGGGCAAATACGGGAAGTCTTTAATGGCTCCTTCTGAGAGCGGCACAAAAGCAGCAGCAGAGGAAATGTGGCCCCTGCCATTTCTGGCCCTGGTTAAGGAAGGGGCCAGGATGGCCAATTCATTGTTCCTTTGCCATGGTTTTAGCTGGATGGTGAAGAAAGAGGACAGGGGGAAAGCCAATTTGCTTGAAATCTGGTGCCGGAGACCATGGAGTGCCCAGAAGTCCACTAAATGGACCAAAAAATTCAACAGAATCATAGAGTTGGAAGGGACCCCAAGGGACATCCAGCCCAACCCTCTTTTGCCATGGAGGAAGAC